AGAGAGAGAGAGAGAGAGAGAGAGAGAGAGAGCGAGAGAGAGGCGAAGGAGGGCATACACAGGCAAACAAACAGACAGACAAACAAGCAGACGTACAAACAGACAGGCAGACAAACAGACAGCAGACATATAGAGGGAAGAGAGATAGAGAGAAAGGGGGAGACAGACAAACAGGCAGCAAAATTGACAGAGACAATATTTTGACAGACAGACAGACAGACAGACAGACAGACAGACAGACAGACAGACAGACAGACAGACAGACAGACAGACAGACAGTAGGCCCAGATAATATCAATAACGATAAAAGCAAGGACTCAATGTTTAGATCTTACCTACCAGAAGATCAGGAGTGCGGCTGAAAGACAGCAGTAAGAAGGAGCCAATGAGTAGCAGTAAAAAGGCTGCAGAAAGAGTCAGGAGCCCAGAAGAGAGGGCAAAGGGGAGTAGGGGTGAGCTGGTGAGCAGAATTTGGAGACGAAAGCAGACGACAGAACATGGTTAGAGAGAAAGAAAGGAAGTGAAAGCAAAACCATTTTAGAGAAGAACAATTTTTAGTGAGCAGTGATTTTTAGACCCAAGTAGGCCAATGTCAAGCAATTAGTGTTGGTGACACGGGGTTTCGATGGGTTGTCATTGGGGGTGTGTACTTGAGCAAGACACGACAACACTAGCTTAAAATACAGGGCGCTGCACAGTGGCGACCGGCAGCAGCATCGTTGTAAGTTGTTATGTTCTGGTGTAATAATTGTATTCATGTATGTATTTGTGAAAGTATTTATGTATGTATGTATTCATAATTACGTACTTATGTATGTACATAAGATGTATGTTTGCCACTGTAAACCAAATTGCCCTTCTGGGATTCTTAAAAGTGTCATTTATTTATTTGTTAATTTATTTTATTATTTTATTCCCGTCGATTTCAGGTTTCGAACCTGTGACCTATTGAATGAGAGGCGAACAATGTAACCTCTAGATCACAAGACCCCTAATAAATTGTCAAAAAGTGAATAATACACATGTACAAGTGAATAGGATTTTTCACTTGAACACCTTATATTTCTCATTTTGAAACAACGTGTACACCCACAGCAAAGGCCATATCACAATGGAGGAGCCTGAGGTAACGGAAGTGACGTCAGTGCCTATTACCATGGAGATGAACAGGTCTGAACACGACGAGAACGCGGTCCCCAATCCAGAATTCCAGACGCTTAGCCAGAAATTGAAGGCCCACTACGAGAAGGGCTATAAGAGACCAAAGGCAGACAAACTGAGGAACCCATTAACCCCTGAGGCTATCAACAGGTGAGCAGAAATAAAATTATGGGACATTATACCATATCGCTCATGCATATCCACATAGGCCTGCATATTAACCTTTTTCGATTCCCAGAATTGTTTGGGTTTTTTTGGTGGTTTTTTTACATCGACACAATTTAAATCATCTTGAAGGCGGCCTTAGACCCTGCCTGTCAGGGCCAATCCGAGCTGTAAGAGGGATAATATGCCACGTCCGAGCACAAAGACCGAGATATTCGATAGTTAATATTCTCCACTTTGGACAATTGTTATTGTGATTGGTTTGTTTTTTCGCTCCCCCC